TGGTCAAGGTCAAAAATCTAAAGCGCTTTACTTTTCACGGGAAAAATAGCAACAATCACAAAAACTTGCCACTACCCGCAATTATTCAGAGCGACTCTGGGCTCATAAAAGTAGGGGAAACAGAGAATGTGCTTCACTGTGATAATTCGGGGAGTTTTGACATTAGAAAGGGCCCACACAGCGGATAGTAGAGCTAACATCACGAAGAAAAATTTGTCATCTTTTGGAGACGTATCAAATAGTGTGCAAGTTACGGGTCATTACGAAAGTAGCAATAGAAGCTGCTAAGCATTCAAAATTTAGAATTCTGGATACTTCGGAAGGATATGACAGCATTTCTCATGTGCCCAGTAGGAAAATCTCACAGGTTTCGACGAACACGGTAGCCGCGAACTAAAAGCTAAGGAGAGACAAATGATTACGATCGTCATATAAAAATCTACTAAATTCTAGCTAAAAGAACCCTCTTTAATGAAAGAGCTACGAGAGCTGTTGTGAACGAATAATCGTAATACGCCTACCCATCAGTGAGAGTAACAATGTTTCAGAGCAAAGAATTTTTCAAACGAGATTTAGTCCTGTCAGTGGAGCCAATCTGTGCCAAAAAGAGGAGAGGAACTGTACAGCTGTTTTATCCTTATTGGGAATCATCAGCGTTGCGCGTTTCACGAAGCTCAGAAAACTTCGAATCCGTGACCTTTGGACCGTGGTTAATCACTTAAAAGGTTCCATCAGAAGCCTCTGGATGGCGGTGTGATTAGCTCTCCATTTTTTCAGTCCATCCGTTTTCAAGCTCAGTACAGTAGCACTATATCGAGCATAAGGAAACCAAAAATGAAACCAAAGGACATTATCGATCAGCCGAATACAAGAAAGTCCACAGTGTAGTGAGAAACCTGTGCAAATTCCTGGTCACAATGGGCTTCGGGTAAGTTGTTCTTGCTGAAACAAATCTGCATTATTAAAGCCAGTGGTAACGAACTCCTTCGTGTTTGGTACCCTCCGTTTGAAATTCCTGAATGTGCGCTGGGGTACTCAGTATACAACCAGACGTTTAAGAATACATTGACGCTTCTCCCCTCTTCTAGGTTACGTTATTTCCACTACCGGAAAGTGCACAACAAACAGGTCTAAGACATTTTGTAATGAACACCATAAACGACAGTTTGGACTCACCTGACCACATTTGTACATAATTTCTCTGGCCCAGAATGAGATCATCCAATCAACAAAACATGGTAGGTCAACCGGAGAGGCTAACTCCATTTAGGAGTCTTATGGTACAAACTTAGCATTCGCAGCATACCACGGACTTGAAACTGGAAAAGTTTATTTCGATTCTGGTGACAGTATTATAACAGTATCAGTTACGACATTAGATCATTTGGCTACTTCGTAAAGAAAACCGAAGGTTGATCAACGATAACATCATAATGATACTCGGGCCCAATAGATGAGCGGGCCCACGGATAACCAGATTTCCAGCTCATATCAAATACCAAAGAAAAAAGTGTTATGATTGGAGGGAAATCGACTTGCTGCTTGAAACACATTACATCCCCAGTGTAGAGCTTAATACCCCAGGGCTTATAGGTACAAATATTCTGAGAATGTACGTGTTAGCAATGATTCACACACCCGAATATCCACTGAGTGTGATTTCAGCCATGTTTGGATCACTCAGTTGAATATGGGGATAGCTAAAATCGTAGAATCCAATCACACAAATTAGTTCAATATGGTCTAGGTCACACGCTTCCTATTGATGAATTAAGCAAAGAACTCAGTGTCTAGAAAGAAAGCATTCCCTCGATTGATGCGTGTTCGCCCCTCACTTACGTGTCCCTAACAGAAACCATTACCTTCAATCGTAGTTGAACATAATCGGGAATGTTCACCTCCGATTCAATTCCTAGGAGAATGTCTGCTCCAATGACGATGACTTGTTCCGACAGACTGACGAAGCAACTAAGGATCCAACAATTGGCTCTCTATCGGCAGATTACTGTATCACCATTCTAGAACGTGGAATTTCAACATAGATTATTCGCCAGTATTCTCTATATTGCAGTTAAGTCAACGATACCTTTATCGTTGATCTTGAGATAAACCAAGTGGTTGGGGGGGAGGGCGAAATGGCCCAAGTGGTTAGAGCGCGAATTTACTGACCGGAAGGTCGTGGTTCGAACCCGACCTCTGTCTCTCGACTTACCCTGTCTAGGCTTGGGCAACCTGGCAGTATCCCAACCCTCGTGCAACCTTCGCGTAGCATGGCAGTTAGACGTCGGAAGGGTGCTACAACTGAACGATTTTTGAAGTCAAGTAATTGGAGCTTTCAACACCGCCCACTTCCATTTCAAGTTCACCCATGAGTTAGGACAATGCATTATTACCCCGTGTTAAAAGTGGACCACTGTTCCAGACTAGCCCCACTTTTCAACTACTGTTCCACCAAGAAAGCGGAATTTAGTCGGAAGTTGGATACAGCGGCCCTAAAAAACTTGTTTTAGAGAATGGTTCCCAGTTTAATGGCCGATGGCACAAGTTCGTCAACGTGGTCTATCAGCGGTCATTTGACACCAGTGACCTATTATACGGAAGTTTTTTCTAATCGGTCGATAGAAAACCTCTCTTCCATTATTTATTGTTTCATATATGATGCACCGATATTGTACTTAGCTTGAAAATGGAGTGTAAAAAGACGTCTTTGCTATGAACGATTGTTCTGCTAAACAATTGGGGCAAACTAATACTGGCAACGAAGGCATGCAGTGCTGTTAATGAAAGCTACCTCTTTTAAATGTGAGAAAAGGGTGAAGAACCGGACTACTTTGAGGACCGCAATGTCGGTCAGCCCGCCTGTTTCTGACACCGCGAGTATCGTCCGATGGATAGCAGTGAACTTATTGTTCAACTGTACTACTATTCAGTGTCTTCGAAACTGATAGAAAAACCTATATTTGTTGCAGCCCATATGCAGACAAGTGTTTGAGTATGCACGGTCGAAAATCTGACCAGTCTCAACGTCAGTTTCTTTGGAAAGCTATTCAACTTAAGGTCTAAAGCGCGGGTGGGTATCTGGATATAACGGATTATAATCATTAGCGGGAACTTTCGGGACGTACTCAACTAGTGGTAAGGTTTGGATACACCAATCTCTCTGGACTATTAGTTCAGAAGACAAACCTGCTTCTTTCTGAAGTTTGATAATTACGTTAAACTAACTCCTGAAAATACACACCGCTCTTCCTCATAAGTCCCTCAACCAAGACTTTGTGATTCATTTAGCTGTCGATCATCTAACCATTGTACCATATCTATATTGTTGCTCAGGAAAGCAAATCTAAGCAAATCCTTAATGTTGTCAAATGACCTGTTTTCACAGTGCTGCTTTCCGCGTCCGTACTCCGTGTCGAGATGTTCAAGAACTATCTCCCGTTGATGTTTTCTTCCGATTGGTGTGTTGTGCCTCCGAAACACGCACACAAGACTGCTCAAAGTGAACTTGGGTTTCTCACACTTCATGTGTCTGATGAGTCTGATACAATGGTTCATAGTATTTACGGCGTGGGAATTGTGCCTAACCTCGGGAATGAATGCGATATACTGGATTGGGTTTCAGCAAACATTCTTCCTTGAGCCGTTCGGTTAACTGGCTTAACTAGGACTAATGTATTTCTACGTGGTAGACGGTGCTTCTTTGTATCGGCATATATTCTGACCGACGGCAGCTCAAAGATAACGTCCACCGCACAGACAATGAAGAGCGAATTCTTTAGTTATGTGCTGAACATCATTCGAATCTAGCCAACGCAAATATTCAGCACAGGTGCCGTATTACCTGGAGGCGACGAACGGTGAACTAGCGAATTCAGTTGAACTTTGTGGCAATCAGCTCCCAATGGAGATTTGATACAAGATTGTCGTTCATTCACGAGCATGCCCCGGAACTCTGACCATGGCATCGTGCAGCCAAATGGATCTATTCACTTTCTCTGCAGTTGATACTAAATCATTCCGTTCATCACCTGAAAAGCATCTCTGTGGCCAAACGGTATCGAGTTGAGTTGGCTGAGGAGTTTCCAGAGCTAAACGATCACGATACTAACCGATGATTCAACATTTGAAATGGTCCATCAAAGGTCGATTACACACTCCAGTGAACACTAGATCTCGCTACATGCATCTCTCCTTGATTCCAGAAAAACTATACCAGCAAGAAACGACTGTGGTAGCGCGCGCATATCTCATGAACGTCAAATAATGAGCCTAAGGAACGACAGAGAACGGTGAGTGCTTTTGCGACAGGAAGCAGTCATACCCCGTTACAGCCATTCTGACCCGGAGAGTGAGCGTTATTGAAACGATCTCCTAATAATGGGACCTCACAGAAATTCATCTTGGGCGATGAGCTGAACACTTTGAAGACCACCAACCCACTGTCTGGAAGGAACAAGTGAACCCGAATGGTAGGTCGATATCAGTCGACCATCGACGATAGAGTTCCAATGTAAGATTTCATTGCTTCAGCGCAACAAAGCACCTGGTCCAGATGTTCACGTACTAAGATTTGGAGGCAAAACTAGGCGGAGGTTTAAGATTTCATGCTTCAGCGCAACAAAGCAACCCGCCCAGATGTTCACGTACTAAGATTTGGAGGCAAAACTAGGCGGAGGTTCACTAGGCCTTGAACGCTTTACCACTCGTTTACTATACAGTAGCTTGAAACAGTGCGGCCGCCTGACAGAGTACAGCGATAGGTGACAGATGGTCCATATCAGATATCCGGTCAAATAAGAATGCATGCAGGCGTGTATGCAAATATACAAAACCATTCGGACCCGACGTTTCACCGAATAAAGTTAAGCAAACCTACAGTAAACATGAATAGAGCTTATGTGGATTTGAACTGTCATCTGTAAACAGGATGCGCGCGCGACTTGGAGGCGGAAACATACAGATGGACAGCGGCAAGCACTGAGAATGCGTGTAGAGCTTTCTTCGTTTTTAATTTCTTTAAAAGAACTTTCTGGGGGAAAAAACAGTTTATTCGCGCTGTGAGATAGCCACTTGATTAGAGACAAACAAGATATGGTGCACGGTACAAGTGAACTGGGATCGAGGAAACAGAAATGGGGATCATAGAAGTGGGACGAATGCTCCTCCCTCTTGTTGAATCAAGGATGCGTCCTCAAAAAGAAGCAAGACAAAGTGACCGGGTTCCAAAGGAGTGGTGTCAAACACATACATCGTTCGAAGGTCTACAGGGCCTTTACAATTCGTCATGTTCGGCCAATAACTCGCCGTAATTTGTCACCGCACTGCCAATCAACGTCTCATGACAACCAACCAGTTCCTGCTCTGATAATTTTCCATCCTGTATAGAAAGAAAGACATGTATGAGAGCAGGCGAAACCAAAACACCGATGAAAAGACGACAGAACGATAATCGTACACAAGACGCAGACCCAGTGACTAGGCGCAAAATACCATTAAACGAGAAGTGAAAGAAAAGAAATGAGGTGATGGCGGTAAAATTGAGCTAGTGTTACGGGGGACGCAACTGGACTGACAGCAACTCTGGCAGATAAGGCCATCTTCACAGGACAGTTCTTCTGGCTTTGGTTTCTAGAACGAACTGTTATCATCTGTGGCTCTGTATAGATGTTTGTGTGCGAGGGTGGACGAACCACCTAAACAGGTGGGTTGAGCCACGGAGGGTGATTGCGGACCCAAGACTCTTTTGCCTTGCAGATTCTACTTGGTCGTGTAAAGCTAAATTTTCTGTAACAGAAAACGGTTGAAACTGAAGGCCTAACGAATAATCCTTCAGAGACTGACAGATGATAGTCTATCAGTTGTCTTTTACACATTGCGTCCCTGACAAACCACGCGCTGGCATTTCAGAAATTTGAAAGCCCAGATAGGTCGGCTGTGACATTCACGTATTTAATAGCTGGCACAGCTTTACCCCGTTGCGCTGCTTGACAGTCCCCACGATCAAAGTTAGTGTACAAAATGCCATTCGAGGCCACCAAAAATCAAGAGCTGCAGCTGGAAGATTCCATTTTTTTTCATTTGACATCGCCGTGGAACTGTACATAAATATAAATACTACCACACTTAGCAGACACCTGAAGTAGAACATGGAAGCGTGACTTGCGTCTGAGTCTTGGACGCCCCATACAATTCAAAAGCAAGAGCATCTTTGTAACAACAATCACGTCAGATTCAACACGCATCGCGTCGCAAAGGTACACTTCCGGAATCTTAAGACACGCTTGGTCACTCCATATTCACATCCTCATACAAGTCAGCAGATTTTACATGGCGAGCTCTCATCCTTACATCATCAACACAACGGGAGAAAGACTCGCCCTTCGAAAAAGTAAGAAAATACATCTCCCAACTGCCCGAAGAGAAGTCAATTTTTGTCTGACAAGATAGGTGATAATCCGGCGGTGAAACTCACAGAGTCTAACTGCGATTTGGTGTGTTCCTACAGGCCACTTGAAAACCACATCACACCTTCACGTAGAACTGAAGTTCAGCGTGAACCTCGTATTTTAAGCGTTTTATAAACAGAGTGAACATAGAATACAAACGACATAAAAAGCTCGTCACTGGAGAACTTGTGGACTACATACTTTCACCATGAACAGAATGCGACTGAAACAAGATTGGAAGCACATCCAGGGCCGAGTTGAGATCAATAAGACCCCGCTGCAGAAGTGTGTATCTTGTTTAGAAAGCTGGGCGAATACAGAAACTGCTGACAGACTATCGTAGAAACTAACCAGGAACAAGGGATTCATCCAGCATTTCGATTGAATAATTATTAATAGGTTTGATAAGAGGTTCCATCAGAGTTAAAATTATTAATAACACAAGGACTGACTCCATTCCGGTATTTTAATACTTTTACGGTTTCCGTAAAGTAGTAATGATTTGAAATGGTCAAAAAATTGGCATGGAGCCAAAGAAAATGTGAAAACAATTCCACCACATTGCAATCGAGGAAGATTTCGAAGCCCTGGTTTCATACGTACTCAGAGGTTGTACAACTATTCATACAGGAGAAAGTATACATTTGGAAAAGACTTACTCCATCTTTATCACAACTGTGAAGTAGGTGTGATACTTCGGACTCAACATGATCGTCACCGGGAGGGAAAATCCACGCCCTGACCTCTTCTTTATCCAGTTTCCCATCGTGATCTTTGTCACGCTCGTCGTCGAAGTGTTTTCGTTCGTCTTTGATCCAGTCGGGTTCTTCTTCAGAAGGGCTCGAGGGGACCCAGAGATCGTCTGTGAACGAAAAAAGGTAAGACAGCGTTTTCACTGGATACTGTGTTAAATTCCTCCGATTCACGAAGAATGTAACTACAGACTGCAGTTATTCTCCAGAAGGGAAGCCACTACTGGGAAAGGGTAATTCAAACACTAGGGATGGTAGAATTTCTTTGCGGACTCTGTCCTGATTTCAGCGTACGTGATTCTTGAGAATTGTAAGACAAACTGTGGGATCTTGCGGTAGTGTTTTTTGACAAACGATCCCACGCTCTTTGACTATATCTGTCTCCCAATATCAATATGGTGCAAATCGTGCTGAAGTGCTATAACCATTAGTTACGCTTCTTGACCCAAAGAGAACGTTTTAGTTACTTGACGAATTGGACAGCTTGCTTGTATTTAGTGTTCCGAACCCACAGGAATCTCTATCCATCAGCAAATTTGTCTGTCACAATCTAAGCGAAACATCAACACGTAACAGTAACCACAAAATCTGGTGCAATTTTCTTTGAACCTACCTGAAATAGTAGCTACTCAAGTGTCCGCTGTCACCATAGGTCTATGTAGTTCCCAGGTCACGTTTCCGACAATTCCATCAATTCCTTCATGGTAGTTGAAGGTGTACGAACATACTATAGTAAGCGGCTATTTCGTGGCGAACGATGCTTAAGTGCTTGACACAGGTTTTGATTTTAACAGAACACTCAACTGAATCCAGTTGAATGTCTCGTTTATGATGATCCACTGTAGAACTTTCAGCAACCTTGTGAGTAGTGTGTTATGTTTAGACGGTAATACAATGCTGGGAAGAGAACCTCGGTGTTGTTCACTGCCATGCGAGACAAAACTCGATAGTTATCAAGCAGCAACATGACCTTCCTGGGTTTAAATCCCAGACCATTGTACAGCTCGTTAAATAGTGATAAACTGGATTTGGATCGTTTGGAAGCTTTGTACGCGTTGAATTGCGTCCACAGCTCACGCCGTTCAGAGTTCCCATGGGGAATCTTCTTGTATTCTTTTGTAGGTGGTCAAACAACGAAACCGTGGATTGTCTAGAGTGGGGGAGAACGGGATCTTCAGAGACATAACCCTTGGAAACTGGTGATGGTTGTTCGCTGGGGACTTATCCGAGGAACTGTCTCTCCCCATAAATATCTCTTGGTAGATGCAGAATACTACATCACTGCGAGCGATGGAAGCCGAAGAAAAGAGTCAGACAGAAGAATATTCAGTTTCAAGACAACGCTATAGAACGTTGCATGACGCTGCACGTCATTGGAGTAATCCAGCACACAAACAGCCCCAGGTAGAATGTACGCGTCACTGGAAAGAGGAAATACACCTGACGATGTTTGATTTACAGCAAGTGGGGCACAATGACACTCGAGTAGGTACAACTTCAGCAGTGGCAGGTATTCGACTTTCTTCTGCGTCCAACTAAACGGAACGGAAACAGAATAATTTCCGTACCTCCGCGTATATGTCGTCATGAAGCTTGGGATTCGGGAAGCACCGTTAGAATCAGAAAGGCTACTCACAAAAATCAAATTATTATTGGAATCCACTGAAATGGACCGCGTACATTCGAGAGCGCCGACTGTGACGAGGCATGTACTGTCCTTGCCCAATTACAGTCTACCAAAGAAAAGACCGTCTTAGTGGAAGGCTGGTGAGGGACAAACCATGGCCTGGTAACGCGACCTGGCGACCGCTCTCAAATTGGGTTCTGTGGTTGGAGTCCACGCGATTCTCCTTGCACGTGATTAAAAATCTCACATGGCATGTGACATGGTACATAACCAAGTCCGGTTAACAGCATGCTGTCACTTTCCAGTCAGACTACCTAGTTAATCATGTTTGTCGTAGTATGGTAGACTCATGTCGAATGGGGTTCGCAAACGACATTGGGTCAATCCTAACGCTGTCTTACTTCCATGTGATGCTCGAATGCTGCGTTTATCTGGTTGGTGCTCTGACGTGTAGGTAACTTGTTCTTGGTGTTTTCCCATATGGTTGCTCGTGATAAGTCCAAGTCATCTCCCCCTCTTCTTTCCACTCTTGTCTATGCGTTGTTCTCATTATTTTGTGGCAGTTAAGCGCCATCATTTATTACTGGTGTATTACTGTCGGAAAATGAATGGATAACTAAATGTCTTAAAAGACTCATTCGAAAGTGGACCAGAAACAAAGTGATTCCAGTGGGAACTAGGGGGAAATGACTAAATTATAGTCGATTACGGAATAGCTCGCTTGCATATCCCACACATTCCCTTGCCCTTATGTCTTCTACCGGTAGTATACGGCAACGGTTGAACTTGTGACGGCTCAGTGATGACCGCGAAACGTCACGAAGAGACTGGACCTTACCGTAAACGTCACGAACTGGACCTTACCGTGGTGTGACGGTTTGTGCACCTCAGCGATCCATTGAGCTATACTGGAAAGTGTCCCGCGATACTCACTCAGTCTCTCATACCAGGTTGGTCAATGGTTAGAGGTCTGACGAACACAGTCTCCTGGCCCTCCAGGTTGGGGGTTGGAACATGTGGCGACTTGTTCCGT